TATTTTAGGTGTTTGTTTAATTCCCTTCATATATCCACTGTGTTGTTAGAAATTTTCCTTAAGGGATGTAATATACAAATATGCCATACAGATATATGCATAGTTAACTATAACAATGAAATCTTAAGAAATTAGATATAAAACAGAGCTACATGTTTTCAATTACTTTATGGACCACATTTGATTTTTTATTTTTTATATAAGTGGTCTTGAATTCCTAACCAAGAAATCGCAACCCATAGAATTTTTAAGATTAGCAAAACAGTTTCTAAGATGCAGAACTTTTTGCATGCATTGCCTTTTGCACAATTTCGTTTTTATATACTTTTTTTCTTCCTTTTTTTCTCCCTCTCTTTTTAGAGAATGTAACTTTTTATTGCATTTTTTTTCTTTTCCCAAGTTATGTTTTTTGTTCCTTTTTTTAATTCTTTTTTCTCTTCTTTTTTTGTCGTTGTGCATATAGACATGACCCTCTGTTAAAGCAAAAAGGAAATATCTACCATAGCCATAGCAATCATACCTCTTCGACCTTGTGTAACTCAGGGGTATCTCGCAAAGCCGCACGGGTTATAATTAACGGATAAATCATACCAAAATCACCTTCCGTCTTCCCCTTTTCATTCTCTTAGTAATCACTCGTATCTAATCATCCAATCGTTGATCATTAGTCTGGTACTCGGATATGTACTTATCTATTCCCGTTATCCACACACGCGCGGGTTATTTGGCAAGTATTGAACTTAACAACAGATTTAACCCCGCAGTCTCTCACTTGCTCAATTCTTTGTTGTTAGTCCTATTTCTTCGTTCGTTTTGTTTATTTTTCCTTCTTCCATTTATCCATCTACTTATCTCAGCCTTTTTCTATCTCTATCTCTCTATTAATCTATCTCTCACATCTATCTTTCTATTTGTGTATGTATGCAGGTACATATATATGTAAAAGAAATACACACACGCAAACGCACACACACATATATATGCATATATGTGTATGCATGTATGTGTATGTGTATGTGTGTATACACATTGTATGTGTATGTATTGTATGTGTATTTATGTATATGTGTATGTGTATGTTATGTGTATGTGTATGTGTATGTGTATGTGTTATATATATATATATATTATATATATATATATATATATATATATATATAGTATGTATGTATGTATGTATGCATGTATATGTATATATTATATTTATATATATAATATATATATATATATATGTGTGTGTGTGTGTGTGTGTTGTGTGTGTGTGTGTGTGTATGTATGTATTATGCATATTCATTTATTTATTTATCTATACATATATGTGTGTATGGATGTGTGTGTGTGTAAATGTGTGTTTGTATGTTCTCTCCCCTTCCTTCCTCCCCTTCCTCCCTGCCACCTCTACTCCTCCTTTGCCGCCCTTCCTTTCTTTCTCTCCCTCCTTCCTTTCTTTCCTTCCTCCCTCTCATTAGTTCTCTTCCCTGCTCTTCCTCCTTCCTTGCTATGTCAAGTCGTGACGTGCTTGACCTATGTTGACCTATGGCGTACTGATCAACAGATTTAACCATGTAGTCTCTCTATTTCTTTGATATTATTCATAATTCCTCATTCGTTTTGTTTAATTTTCGTTCTTCCATTTCTTGTTTTCGTTTGTTTATTTTCTTATCTTATCTTCCCTTTCATTTTTTTAATCCGATGTTTCTTTTTATGTTTTTTTATCCACTGTTTATCCCTGATTCCCTTTTGTTTCACTATTTTTGCGTTTGTCTCTCTATCTATCTCTTTATATGTATATTTGTCTATCTATCTATCATTTCGCCTTTCTTCTCTCTCTCTCTCTATCTATCTATCTATATGCATATGCATTTGCGTATATATTATATATATATATATAATATATATATATATATATATATATATATATATATATATATATAGTATATATATAGTTGAAAGAATAAAGAAAAAATGAAGGCAAAGATAAATGAGTAAATGAACAAGGAAAAAACAAATATATTGGAAGAAAAGAAACAAACACGAGCGAAGAAAGAAATAGGAACAACACGAAGAAATGAGCAATTGAGAGACCGCAGGGTTAAATCTGTTGAGAATACACCACAAAAACAGATCTGTCGCAGAACAGAGCACTAGAAGACAAACATTCATTATATATATATATATATATATATATATAATATATATATATATATATATAATATATATATATATATATATATATATATATATATATATATATATATATACATATACATATATATATTTATATATATATATATATATATATATATATATATATATATATATATTATAATATATATATATATATATATATATATATATATATATATATATATATATATGAATGAAAGATATGAAGACTGGATATCTTCACAATACAAGAGATGTATTTGACCGGTTTCGATTACGTCTTCATCAGAAATACATACATAAGAAGAAAATACATAGCATATATATATACTAC